ACCTACGAGGGCCAAGCAGTTTCTTTATTGCTTAACCAATGAAATCAACAGATTGATATATGACACTCCCCCATCAGCTAAGTAAGATATAAAAGCAGACCTAGCAGAATCATACCTGACTTCTCAAGAAACAACCAAAGCCAGAAGGTCCTGGTCAAGCATTATGCAGACATTAAGTAACCACAGATGCCAGCCCAGACTACTATACCCAGCAAAACTTTCAATCACCACAGATGTACAAAAAAAAAAAGATATTCCATGACAGAAACAGATTTAACCAATACCTAGCCACAAACCCAGCCCTATACAAAGTACTAGAAGGAAAACTCCAACCCAAGGAAGTTAGCTACATCCACAAAACACAGACAATTGATGTGGGATTTCACTCTGTATGCTGTGATTACCATTAATGAATAAAGAAACCGCTTTGGACCTAAAGCAGGGCAGAATTTAGGTAGGCAGAGAAAATTAAGCTGAATGCTGGGAGAGAGAAGGCAGAGTCAGAGAGAAGCTATGGAGCCACCACCAGAGACAGATGCGCTGAAATTTTGCTGGTAGGCCACAATCTTGTGGTGATGCACAGATTAATGGAGATGGGTTAAATTAAGATGTAGGAGTTATTCAATATGAAGCTAGAGCTAATGGACCAAGTAGTGATTTAATTAATACAGTTTCTATGAGATTATTTCAGGGCTAAGTGGCCGGAACCAACAAGCAGCCTTCCTACTGCAGACACTAGATGATCTCACAGCAGCAAATCCCACAGAAAGGAAAAAGTACATATAATAACATCATCAACAATGAAAACTAAAATAACAGGAACTAGTTATCACTGGTCATTAATATCCCTTAATATAAATGGACTCAACTCACCTATAAAAAGACACAGATTGGATAACAGATTGAATATGATAACAGAATCCATTCTTCTGCTGCATATAAGAAACATTCTTCAACCTCAAAGACAGACATTGCCTCAGAGTAAAGGGTTGAGAAAAATTTTTCCAATTAAATGGACTTAAGAAACAAGCTGGTATAGCTATCCTAATACGTAATAAAATAGACTTCAAACTAAAATCAATCGCAAGAAACAAAGGAGATTTCATATTAGTCACAGGAAAAAAATCCATCAAGAAGAAATCTTAATACTGGACGTTTATGCCCCAAATACAAAGGTACCCTCATATGTAAAAGAAGCACTACTAAAGCTTAAATCACACATTAAACCTCACACACTAATAGTGGGAGACTTTCAACACCCCATTCTCACCACTAGACATCTATCAGACAAAAAATTAACAGAGAAATAAGGGAACTAACAGATGTTATGACTCAAATGGATTTAACAGACACATATGCTGGATAATTATGTCTTTATTTGTGCAGGTATACCCATGATGGCCATAACTTCTAATAAATGTGTGGTTACTAAATCAGCCTTTTCTGAGTTCAAGGCAGTTGCCCATTGAAAACCTGAATAAGTGTCAATGGTGCGGTGTACATGTTTTAATTTTAATTTTCCAAATTCTGTAAAGTGGAACACATCCATCTGCCAGATCTCATTCATTTGAGTACCCTTTTGGGTAGTCCCTGCTGGTAATGGTGTTTGACTATAAAAAGAGCAAGTACGACATCTCTTTATAATCTCCTTAGCTTGTTGCCATGTAATAGAAAGCTCTTTAAACATTTTCTATTGATACGATGTTTCTTATGAAATCGTGATGCCTTTAGCACACTTCCAATCAATAATCGATCAATTTCTGCATTACCTTGTGCTAGAGGACCTGGCAGACCCATATGGGATTGGATGTATGTTATATATATGGGACAAAGCCTAGTCCTGATTATATCTTGAACCTGAATGAATAATAAAGTCAATTCTGTATCATCTGGTATAAACTCAGCAGTTTCAATATGCCAGACTATTCTTTCTGCATACTACTAATCAGTAACTATATTAAAAGGTTCTTTAAAATCCTTTAGTACCATGAGAATAACATATAATTCTGCCTTTTGGACAGAATTATAAGAGCTTTGTTTCACCTTATTTAATTCTTCTGATCTGTAACCTGCCTTTCCTGATTTATTTGCATCTGTATAAAATGTATGGGCTCCAGTTATTGGTACATCACGTACAATTCAGGGAAGAATTTAAGGTGTTCTCTTTATGAGGTTAGTTCTATCACTTTTGGGATAATTGCTATTAATTTCTCCCATAAAATTAGCACAAGCTCTTTGCCAAGATTCATTGTCTTCTCTTAATTTTTTAATTTCACCAGCAGTAAAAGAAACTATAATCTCTGCTGGGTCTATTCCTGCTAGCTGATGAAATCTCAATTTTCCTTTTATAATTGATCCAAAGACTTTTTCACATAAGTTTTAATTTTTTTAACTTGGTTTATGTGATAAAAAAAGATCCATTCTAAGATAATATCTTCTCTCTGCATTAAAATTCCTGTAGGGGAAGTTCTGGAAAGCAATATGACAAGAATACAATTAAGATTTGGATTTACTCTATCTACATGTGCCTCCTACAGTTTCTCTTAAATGACCATCAATTCTTTTTCCACTTCAGCTGTTAATTCTCTGAGACTATGTAAGTCTTTGTCACCATCTAAGGTCTTGTTTAAATGAACTATGAGGTCAAGTGTTATCCCAACAGCCAGTCGTTGACTGGAAATATCTCCTAACAATTTTTGAAAGTCATTAAGAGATCACAATTGGTCTCTCCAAATTTGTGCCTTTTGTGTTCTAATTTTCTGAAAACCTATTTTGTAACCTAGGTAATTGTCAAAATCTCCTCTATGTATTTTTTTCAGGAGCAATTTGTAATCCCCATTTAGGTAAAACTTTTTTCACTTCTTCAAACATTCTAAAGTATCTGAATTTGAGTCAAAAAACAAAATGTCATCCATGTAATGGTAGATTATAGACTTAGGAAACTGCTTACATATTATTTCCAACGGCTGATTTAGCACAGGGTGGGACTACTGAGCATGCCCCGTTGGAAGATAGTCCACTGGTAACTCCTACTAGGCTGAGAATTATTATAACTATGCACTGTGAAAGCAAATTTTCTTGATCCTTTCCTTGTAAAGGTATAAATGAAGAAATAATCCTTTAAATTAATAACTATGAGAAGCCATCCTTTTGATAATAGAGAAGGCAGAGGAATTCCAGACTGTAGAGGGCCGATAGGTTGGATAACCTTCTTGATAGCTCTTGGATCTGTCACCATTCTCCATTTTCCAGATTTATTTTTAACAACTAATACAGGAGAATTCCAAGGGCGGGCTGATTCTTCAATATGGTGAGCATCTAATTGCTCCTGTACCAGCTGCTCTAAAGCCTGCAGTTTGTCTTCCATTAAAGGCCATTTTTTTTTAACCCATATGGGTTTCTCAGTTAACCATTTTAAAGGCAAGGCTGTTAGTACCTCTGAAGGTTTGCTAACTGCTTTGTGCTCTTGTACAGCCTGAATGGCTGGTGACCTTTATTTATAATATTATATAATATCCTTCCCAGAAACATGAGTTTTGGCGACTGCAGGAATGTTAACCTGGGTATTCCATTGCTCCAATATGTCACGGTCCCATAAATTCACTGCAATATTAGTTACATATGGCCTCAGCCTTCCTTTCTGTTCTTCTGGCCCTATGCATTCGACCCACCTCGTGCTTTGTTTTACTTGAAATAGGGTTCTAATTCCTAGGAATTGAATATCTGCAACTTGAAGAGGCTAATCTGGATGCCAAGATTCTGGAGTAATGATAGTCATATCTGCACCTGTGTCTAGTAATCCCTCAATTACAGTGTCACTTCTACGCACTCTTAGCTTTGGTCTTTGATCATTTATAGAAGTCTGCTAAAATATACATTTCCTATTTCCTACTGGAATTTTTGACTCATCCCCCAGGTCTATTCCATCATCCAGAACAGTATAGTTTTTTACAGTAGGCACTGGACTGTTTAATTTTCCTGGTGAGACATGTTGTCCATAGTGACTGGGAATGACTGGGCCTTATTTAACATCAGGGCCTGCGAGAGGCACCCCAAAGAGTTTCCTGGTGGTATCGGGTTACCTTGTCTGTCTCTTTTTGACCTAGATTCATTAGTCCAATGCTAGCCTTTGCTATACCTCCTACATATACCAGAAGGCTAAGTCCTCCTATTCTTGTCATTCCTAGAGGAGACATTATTCCTAGGAATTCCTTGTCTACTGTCCCTTCTTAAATGCCCTATTCTTCCACAATTAAAACGTTTGGCATTTTGTTGTCTCCTCATTCCATTGGAAATTGCATCTCCTACCCAAGCTTCAGTATTATAGTCAAATGTTTGAACATTCATTGTATGCAAGATCCATTCATCTATGGGTGCTGATCTGACTTTTACAGACCCAAGATCTTCTTACATTCTAAGTTGGCATTTTCAAAAGCCAAGAATTCAATTAGTATACATCTAGTTTCAGGGTCTGTCACTCCTAATTGTACAGCCTTAGTTAATCTTTGTAAGAAGTCAGTAAAGGGTTCTCTCTGGCCCTGTTTAACTCTAATATATGACTCAGTCTTTGAATCCTGTCCCAAGCATTTAAAGTTGCTGTGCTGCATAGGGACAAGGTGCATTCGTCATAGTGAGCCTGTTCCTGAGGATCAGAGTAATGACCCTTGCCAAGCCAATCGTGTGAGGTAGCTTAGTACTTGAAGCCCACGTTTTCACCATTTCCCTGACAAAAGGTAAATGTAGCCCATAAGAAACTATTGCTTGCTTTATTTCTTTTAAATCACTCATATGTATTGGTTCCCATGCATATTCTTTGACTACCTTAGGGTATTGTGTGCCAGATGGTTTTTCTGAGGAAATTACCAGATATGCACTTGAAACTCCATGTAAGTCATCTAGGGGTCTGGCACATACTGATGAGGCTAAATCCTGTCCTTGTATCTTCTGTCTCTGCTCATCATTTCAATAAATTCCTCAATATTTTCGAATCTTTTTACTACTGGCTTTTTAAAAGTCTGAATCTCCTGTCCAGTGTTCTGTTCTAAGGTATGAAACTTATACATTTAAGATAATGTCTTATCCTTGGACATATCATAACTTTACAACAGATTTTGATAGTTAGATTCAACAGCACAAATTCTTTCAGATAATTTTGTCAAACTGATGCTATCCCTCTCCATAGTATTGAACCATTTTTTAATGAGATAATCTTGAAAGCAAAGCTAATTCCTAGAATCAAATAAAGGGAAGGAAAATAGTGTAAGTCTTGCACAACACCTTCCACAGTACAAGCAAACTAATTACTGAACTCCTGGATGCTATAAGTCATTTTTTTGTAGTTTGTCAGGTCTTACCTGTCATAAAGTAACTACAATGAATTGGAGTAGGTGTAATAATCGTTATGGGCCAGCAGGTATCACAGTTGCAGCCATGTGGCTGAGAGACACTAGCAGCAGCGAACAACACATGTTGCTTACTTAGGTACTAAAAAATATGCTTTATCTAATAAATTAAGAGCAGTTATTAAGCTGATCAAACGATTCTGAGAGTTGAGGCTCAAGGGAGTAAAAAAAAACAAAGTTTTTCGTCAATATGAGTTGTGGACTGTATACACTGCGGGGATCGCAGGCAGCAGTGTGTGGGCTGGTGTGTAACACACAGAGAGGTAGCATGGGGGCGTGAGCCAAGGAGTGCTAAGCAGTAGCCTGCTGTGTCTGAGGGCCAACTAGAGTAGTGGGCGGGAGTCAGTGCCCAATGTACCATGCAGCTGGCAGATCAATCCCAAAAAGTGTGGTCTGGTCCCCATGTTCAGGCACCATATGATGGCAAAAGTTACAAAATAATCCCACACTAGTTCAGAATTTGTATAATAAAGGGTTATTTATAAAAGGAGACTCACAGATCACTGTCCTAGGATCACAGTCCTCTGCACAAATGGGGAATAGGAACAGAGTCTAGCAGCTGGAAGTGAGAGCAGGAAGCAAGAGAGCAAGTGCAGGTTTTACAGCTGCATTTCTAGTATAAGAGACTAAACCCAAGTTGACTGGTATTTTAAAGGCTATTTGCTGAAGGAGCAGAAGGGGCTCCCATGGTAGTTGTCTGTAAGGTTGCTTTCTTCAGGTCTTGCTGTCTTAGGATAGCTGGGCTCTGGTGGTGTCATATTGACCTGGTTGTTGTTGACTGTAGTCTTACACTGGTGTTTAGGCATCTGGGTTTAGGATGGTTATAGGTCTAGGTGCTGATTTCTTAATTGTCTTTGTTGTATGGGTATCTTGTTCCTTGGTTTCTCTTTCCTCTCTGGTCTTTGTGACACAGATTTCTGGTGGCTGGTATGACCTCTGAACTAATAGGGAGTCTCTGTACAAGTTGGGGACTGGTCTTCTAGTAGATCTTGGCCTTTGTTGCATCAGAGGGTCTCTGATCTTCTGATTGGTGTGACCTGTACCTGTTCTTTTGATTGATGTTACCTACACCTGCGCAGCAGATGTCTTCCTGAGTTGGGGGCAAGGCCTGATGTTCTGATTGGTCCAGACCTGCTATCTTAATCAAGCAATGTACATAAAACTCTACCATCACACTGATATGACTTTCATCTACACCAAATTCCAGGGCCACTGGAGGGCAGAGAAAATGAAGAACAATGTACAAAAGAATGTCTGTTGCCTCAAAGCAGCCACACTGGAAGGTCACTTCCCAGAAGAGATGTCTCCCCAAACTCCTTCACCCTTCCTTTCCTACCTATATTCCTTAAACACATTCTTCAGTAAAATTAACATTATTTCCTTTTTACAATTAGCACACAGCAGTTAAAAACAAGATGATTACAAGTACTGTCTGCCACGGCTGCCTTGGTTCCTTGGTTACTGTTGGTGCAAATGTAAACCCCACAGAAAGAGTCAAATATGTTAGTATTATTAATAAAATAGCTCTTAAGAGAATCTCAGGAACTACCAGGGAGTTTGCAAGCTGTATTTTGAGAACCACTGTTTTTCAAGAACCGTAGGAGTATAAAGTTTTGTTACACCAAAGACTCTACAAGATCTTCCTTTATGCTATGTTATAAATTCACTTTTTAAATACAATTAGCAGACAGAAAAAAGTTATTTTACTCTAAGTTTTCATATTAAATTAAATTTATCTTGAATGCTTATAAAACAATCTATTATTTACCCCACTAACATTCCAGAATATATAATTTTAAGTCCTATAAAAACAGATTCAGCTCTCCAAACAGTAACAAAATAAATACCCTATAATATAAAGAAGCCATAAGTCATTGTACTTAACTGTAACAGAACTTGATTTTGTGTTGCTTCATCTTGAGGATCCTAAGGGGGGGAAAGAGTAGGTTTTATTTTCCAAACTAAGGAATAATAATGAAACAAACCAAAAGTGAAGCATTCCAGAGAATTCTTAAGTGTTTCTTAGCTCCTCATTTTTTCTTTTTGAGATCTTAATATAGTTATATCATTTCTCCTTATATTTTCTTCCTTCAGAATCTCCTTTATATGCCTCCTTCTGTACATTAAATGATCAGCAGTTTCTTTTATTCTCATATCAGACCAGAAAAACTGAAGCTACTGCATTCTGTTCAAAAAAAGATAAAATTCACTGATACAATTTTTCAGTTTAAGGTTTCACAGTATATTTGCCTTGCTCACTTTCAAAAGAACCTTGCCTTAAATATGGTGTCATCGTCAAAAAAATATTTTTTTAAAAATTGCTCTGGGAGTCCCCTGCCTATTTCTACGATCTATAGATACAGCTTTCTGAGAATAAAGCACTGGCCTTAATATACAAACATTTTAACAACAGAACAATACAATCCTATTTTTTTAGAAAAAGCACACAAACACATATAAATCATGGTATATGAGAGTCTCCAATTAATGTTCAGTGCATATCTAGCTAAAGTTCTGCTACTTGGGCTGATAATACTCTGCCCAAAACCCACAAACTATCTAACAAAAACTCCAAAACCAGGCACAGGAAATCTTCTTTGGAGTTGTAGGTCAGGGGAGCTCAAGAGACTTTCACAACTATATAGAGAGACTATTACTGCTGCCCTTGGTTGTCTCCGAGGGGCTGGTGGTAAGTTCCTATTGCTGAAGACACCATGTACTTCAGACATAAGACCTGGAGGATCTAAACTGAATCTGACCTAAAAGCCTCTTCCCTAAGGACAAGTTTGCATAGTATCAGGAGGGGCAATGGAAGCTTCCAAGGTAGGAAGCAACCAACAGTCTTACCTAGTGCAATGCTTATGAACTACAATGCATAACAGCATAACAGGAAGGCCTAGGGGTGCAAGAGTGGCCCTGAAGTACCAGTGGTAACCAACAGCTCTCTAACTGAACTTAAGGCCACTTAACAGGAAAGAAAACATGCCTGACAGTGAAAACCTAGTCAACCACCTATGGATAGTGAGGTCATAGATCTTAGAAGAGAACCTAGTACTACCACTTTATAAAACCAGCCTAATTCCTAACTGCATTCTAAATATCTATCCTTATAACCATAAAAAAGTGTAACTTTCAACCCTCTTCAAAGAAACTTCTCTTTGCAACCAAAGAAGACCAACACAGAAAGCACAATTGATTAAAATATAGAGAAACAAATTGACAGTGGGGTGCTCAGTCACAATCCACACATCTACAACACAGCTCTTGCACCTAAGGCTTGGGGAACATCACAGAAGAGATAACAGAAAGACTGTAAGAGCCAGAGGACCAGGAAAGCTGCTGTGAGATTATATCTCCTAGAAATGGTAGGAATGCTTCACTTACGATACATCAACAATACTGGTGTCTAAAGAAGACCCAAAGAAATAGACCAATAGATGCATAGCATGGAAAGGGAAAATGTCATGGTGCCCCACCATTGACAAAGAACTATAGGCAACTGAGGAATGCTGAAAGAAAGATAAACAGTCCTCCTCAGGGAAGGGAGGAAATTATGTAGTATTATAATGTTATATGAGGAGCAGGCCTGCTTTGTCGTCCCGGCCACCCAAAATAACCCCCGAAATAACCACACAGAAACTGTATTAATTAAATTACTGCCTGGCCCATTATCTCTAGCCTATTATTGGCTAACTCTCACATCTTGATTCAACCCATTTCTAATAATCTGTATAGCACCACGAGGTCATGGCTTACTGGGAAAGAGCCTAACCAGCGTCAGTCTCAGGCAGGAACTTCATGGCGTCTACCACTCTGTCCTTCTTCCCAGCATTCAGTTTAGTCTACTCCACCTACCTATGTTCTGCCCTATTAAAAGGCTAAGGTAGTTTTTTTTATTCAACCAATGAAAGCAACACATAGAAGAACCTCCTACACCATTGTAATTTAAAAATAAAGTGAATAAGCCAGGTGGTGGTGGCATATGTCTTTAATCTCAGCACTCAGGAGGCAGAGATCAGCGGATCTCTGTGAGTTCAAGGCCAGCCTGATCTACAGAGTGAGTTCCAGGACAGGCTCCAATGCTACAGAGAAACAGTGTCTTGAAAAACAAAACAACAACAACAACAAAATACCTTAAAAATTTTTTGAGATAACAAATACAATTATAAGCATACTATAGCTAGCCAAAGGGGATCAAAATAAAATCTTTTCTCCCTTGTCCTATGACCATCTATTACTTCAAATAATATAAATATTTCAAAATTTGAAAATAAATCACCTCATCTTCTCCAATTAATGTTCATTCTATTCACTAATTATGGAGTCTACAGACATGGGAGTTACCCACCCATGTCCCATGTATATGTATATCCTTCTACGCAGGCTTTATAAAACTCAGAGACTCAAAGGTTATAAAAGGAAACTAGCCTCACCCCAGAATCAGTTTACTAAGAATGGACCTACATACGTCTAAGCACTGCTATTGAGTAAATTAGAGTCCCTTCTTGTAGTTCTTAGTCTCATTAATAAAATAATTTAAGAATGACTCAAATGGAAACTTGAAAAAAATTATTAGCATTTAAAGAAAAACCCTAGGGTAGACAAGCTGTAAATCTCAGCAGCTGATCAGAGCATGGAGTGGGGGTAGAGTCATGTTTTAAATACGTTGGCATAGAGGTCACCCACACAGCATAAAAGGAACTTTTAGAGGAGCAAGAGAGCTTAGAGCACAAAAACAAACAAACAACTGTCTGGGTGAAGGCTTCACCATAGCCCCTGGTAGCCAAGTATCCAAAGAGTCCGGAATGTTTGGGTGGAGGCGTCACCCCAGCTCCTGGCATCCATGAGTCTGGAATGTTCAGGTGAGAGCTCCATCTTCAGGGGGCATTACTCCACACCCTACCCCCCAATCCCCCCATCCCCAAACCCCTACCCCCTTCCAGAAGGCCCACCATTGGTGGCTCGATCCCCACAGGGCATAAGAAGCCCCCACCTCATGGTTTCCCCTGGTGGTCTCCTCAACTTTTCCTAGGGTCACCTAGGAATGCTGTACTCAGAATAAACTTGGATTTATTAATTCAGGTGGATTGGCTTATTACATCAGTGATCGCAGATCTCCATTAACTGGGATTTAAACTTAACACAAACAAATAAATAAAGCATACTTAGGGGCTGAGAGAAAAAGACAGAAGTAAAGTTACACTGTTCTGAGTCAGACAGACTCAGACAAACTACATGGAAGCTCACAGGGCCCGTACCAGGAAGTGCAAATTCTGAGAAGGAAAAGTATAGTATTTCATTAAAATAATTCAGTATCCTGCTTATCTCTTCAGCATGGGTTAAGGTGAGCCCCCCTTCCTCGTGCTGGTTGTACGCCAGATGCCAGCCCAATCTGGATGAGCACTTATGTTTTGAGTAGTTTAGAATGCTGGGCCTCCACACAGGCCAGAGAAATAGCGTCCCTGATGGGCCTGCAGAAACTAGATTAAGGTTTCTGTAACAATATATCTGCATCTCCATAAAACAATTCAATCAAATGACTATCTTGCCCATTTCACTTATCTTCATAAAAGGCCAGTGAACTTTCCTATGGAGGGCAACTACTCATGATCATTTTCACATGAAGTAATTACAAAGACAGCTAGTTGTTTCCTTCATTTCCTTCTCCACAAGACACAACTCCACTCAAGAGCTAAAGACACTAATACAATGGTGGCTGGTGTTACTCATTGATCAGTTAATAAACTGAAGAACACACTTTCATCATCTTTTTTTCATAAGAGACCTGAATTGCTATCTATCTCTTTTATATACATGACTACATTTTTTTCTAGCTCCTACATCTTCATATTTTGACCAGACATTAAACTATATAGGTGTCTTACTATTTTATTTTTTGAAAGTACGATGTGAGAGATTAGGCTAACTTAATCAATTTGGAGGATCTAAAAAGAACCAAATCTGTTTATGTCTTTAAAGAAATTACTCTTTATTGTGTTATCACTCTCTTCAGCTCTTCAGATGGATTACTGAGATTGGCAAAGAAGCCAGGAAAAACAAACAAACAAACAAAAAAATCAGAACAAACACCTTGGTTCTCTATGAAAACTTAGTATCTAACATAAACTACTTTCACATGCACTAAAGCAGATTACTCATAACAAATATCCAGTGTTTTACTTATAAATTATTTTTTTTAACATTTCCATTTTTATTTAAATTTTGACAATGAAAGTTCATAAAGTGCTTTTAAATTCTATCTGCTGTAGATAACCATCTGTTCCCATGTAGGGGACACATGCTACAGTATAGTCATCATTTTAGTATGTACACAAGAATTCTTACAAAGGAAGACCTGGATAAACAGCAAGCTAGTAACAACCTAAAGAAACATGGAGGTGAGAAAAATTTTAGAAATCCTTCCTGAAGGAGCCCAGATGCCCACTTGCCAGACGCTCTGAACAATTCAGTTAGGGTGCTGTACACCAGACAGAGCTGGGAGACATACCATGAAACTACAGATGTGCCAGGAGTGGCATGAGGAGCCCCAAGAACCCTTTGCTAAAAGACAGAAAAGCTTTGAGACCAGAATCACAAACAGGACATTGTTCCCGGTCCTGCTCGGCGCCCGCTGCAGCCGCCTTTGTGGCCCACCTCCTCCTCCTCCATGGAGGACTCTGGCAACTCTGTCACCAGAGTCCTCAAACTCGATTCCTCTTGCCCTCGCTGCAGCGGATCACCAGAGTACCCCACCATATCAGACGTGGCTGTGGATACCAGTTCCGAGACCACCACCAAGAACTTGAAGGAGAAGAAAGAAGTTGTGGAGGAGGCAGAGAATGAAAGAGATGCACCTGCCAATGGCAATGCTAAGGAGGAAAATGGGGGGCAGGAGGCCCACAATGAGGTAGATGAAGAAGAGGAAGAAGGTGGGGAGGAAGAGGAGGAGGAGGTGATGGTGAGGAGGAAGATGAAGATGATGATGAGGAAGCTGAGGCTCCTACGGGCAGCAGGTAGCTGAAGACGATGAGGATGATGATGCTGACACCAAGAAGCAGAAGACTGACGAGGATGACTAGACAGCAAAGGAAAAGCTAAACTAAGGCCGCCGCCATCTGTTCACCCTCCACTTCCCATCTCAGAATTTAAACGTGGTCACCTTCGAGTAGAGGAGCAGGCCCCGCCCGCCCACAGCGGGCAGTGCCACCCACAGACGACATGCACTCTTCATCAACCCACCAAAACCACCACAACAGGAATTTGCAACAAGGGAGGAAAAAAACCAAAACTTCCAAGGCCCTGCCTTTTTTTTCTTAAAAATACTTTAAAAGGAAAAAAAAAAGAATCACAAAACAGGCAGAGATCCTTTGTTGGACTCAATAAAGGGCTCCTCCACGTACAAGTTGAACACAACAACCGGCTTGCAGGACCAAGGGTCCCATGGGTTCTTTCCTGCTACCGCACTTGGCTACTTGTGGCATTTGGGTGCAAACACTGAACTGGTGCTAGTCTGGAGAGGCCCAAGCGGAGGCTCTGACTTGGGGACTTGGTGGGTGCTCCTGCCAGTGGGCTACTGTTGGAGTTTCTGCTTCCGGAGGCGGCTGGGGGGACCCACTTGGGCCTCTTGCCTTCAGCTGAAGGGCTGCACATCTTTGCTGGTTTCCTAACGGCCTCTGAAGAAAGTCCAACTGCCTCGGGTAAGGATGGAGATCGTGACTTGATGGCAGCTGGAGCCACACCTGAGGTCTCCTTTTTTTGTTTTGATTGCTTTTCTTTCTCTACCACGGCTTTTCTCTGCACTGCTTTCTTCTTCTTTTCTCTGGCTTTACCTTTCCTCACTGCAAAGTCCTCATCACTTCCTTCACTCTCCTCAAAATTAGAATCATTTTCTGAATCTTCACCAGTGGCGCTGTCCAGCTCAGTGTCACCAGCACTGCTGCTTTCCAAAGGCACCCTACTCCGCTGAGCCTCAGATTTTGATGTTTTCCTTTCCCCTTCAACACTGCCAGAGTCCCCCTCCTCCATCATCTTGTCTAAATCTTCTGAATTATCACTGGTTACACTGCAGTTAGAGACAGCAGGAGACTTATCCGTCATTTCTGTTTTCCTATCACCTTGCTTGTCAGTGCGTTTTTCTTGAGAGTTCTGCACTTGGTTGCTGACTGTTGGAAGTTCCTTCACAGATAAAGCCAGGGCAACTTCTAGGCCTCGCTGGAAGACCTTGTCATCTAAAGCCATCCTTTTTTTAGGGGCTTTCGCTGGTAGGATGTCTTCTTTCTGGAGAGTCTTCAAGTTAGGTTTTGGTTTGTCTTGCTTTAACTCCTTTGGCAAAGTTTTGGATTTTTTGTTTCTAGGCATGGTTGCCTCAATAAAATCATCATCAGAGTCACCACCAGAGTCCTCAAACTGTGAGTAATTGACTGGTTTTTTATTTCTGCTAGGGCGCACCATGGTGCCCTTCCTCACCCTAGAGCTGTAGCGTCCGGGCGCAGACGAGCGGCGCTGGCCTACTTATAAATTATTGATAACATTTCCTTAACACATACTTCTCTTGGACTAAGGAGCCTAGTTTTGTTTATACAATTTAAAAATATTAAATTATTCTACATATACACATGACTGCTCATTAGGGGCTGTCATACAGATAATACATAAAGTACCATCTATACATTACTTCAGTACTAACAAATGCTGAAAGAGTTGCTTGACATTTCACTTATTAGTATTTAAGAATAACTTAAACACAAAGTGATTGAATTAGAACTTTCTTGGCTCAAGTTGGGCCAAGTCCTAAGCCCTGTTTTAATCACACTACTTCCCAGAAATACTTCTAAACCACCAAAAGTTCCGCAAGGACAACTCCAGAACTGTAAGAATTAAATCAGAATGAGCTCCTGAATCAGAAAAGGGACACCAATAGTATTTTAGTGATCATCCCAGTAGAGTCAAAGTGTTCCCTGTGCCCTGAGCTTTGAAAACTCACCCGTACTTGGGCACCTCAGCATTTTTACCTCAAAGTGGCAGATGGTAGGAAAGGTTGCTTGCTACCTGCTCACTGGAGCTTAAAAAGACAAAAGAAAGAAAGAGAAGGAAAAAAGGCAAAAGAAGGGATGAGAGAAAAGAGGAAAAAGGAAAAGAAAAGGAAAAAAATTCCTCTCCTTGACCTTGCTAATTCCTTTCGATTAAATGTTATCAAGCAAGTGTTGATCTATTCAGTGCCCTTTCTACATTCCTTTTGGGATTCAAGTTAACCGATTCCACCTCCATGTATGCATAAAAGAGGAAGGAGGATGGACTGGAGAGACTGCTCAGAAGAAAAAGCACTTGCTGTTCTTGCAGAGGACCAGTTCCGTTTCCATCACCCACATTATGGCTCACAGCCCCCTTCAACTCCAGTTCTGGCCTCTGTATACATATTTACACATAAACTAAAGAAACAGTTTTTTGAAGCGGAAGGAGGAAGGCTTCAATTTGGATTCATCCTGCTTGAATACTGAGCTGTATTTCAAAGAGGAGATGTGGAGACCTGCCCTGCTGGTAATAACTGCAGGACTGAATAATCATTTCTTATCAAGCAAGCATCTTTTACAAATGACCAAGAAAAGGATTATGAGATTAATGCTACCCACTGCAATTAGTTAGGGTCACTCAGAAAAACAGACCCCAAAGGACAAATGAATAAATAAATAGTTTATTGTAAAGAGTTGAAACCCATGATTATAGAAATTATGTCCAAATCTGCAGTGCAAATTGTTGGGCTTGAGACCTAAAGAATTAATGACATAGCAGAGAAACTAGGAGAGCTGACAATGCAGATGATGTGTTAGAACCAACAAACAAAAACAAATTTGCATGTGCCCACAAATACACATATTACATAATCAATCAATGAATTAAAATAAACAAACTAACAGTGTTGATAAAGTCCAAAGGCAGTCAACTGAACCATTCTCTCTTTCTGGGAAAAGTAGACATCTTTCTTCAAACCAGGCTTTTTGATGCAGCCCATAGATAATATGGAGAACACAGACATCTTTACTCAAGTGCACACATTTAAATACTGAGGATGTGGATACAGCTCAATGACAGTTACTCAGCATGCACAGGGATATAGATTAAAAAGGACATATATATATGCTGGTCTTATCCAAACCACCCTCATTTACACAACTACCTGGATACCTACTGGCCTAGGATACCTAGATACCTAGTACTTGACTATCATGCCAACTATTCTGATAGATACCTATGTTCCCAATTTTCTCTCTAGACATATCACTAAATTCTTCAAACAAACAAGAATTTAGGCATGTAAGAATGTAAGACAGTGTCATGATTTGCACCAGGAATGGTGCTCCCCTCCTCACAGGTTGCAGGCTTGGTACCAGCTGGTAGCACTACTGGAAGTAGTGGAAACTTAGGAGGTAGGCCTATTGTAGGGAAGCAGTCCATCCCTTTGAGTAGTGCATTTGGCTCTTCCTGTGTTCTGTCAGCCTGTCCTTGCCCCCCTTCTACTCTCGCTCTTTCTCAGCCGTCATGAGGAAGAGCAGCTCCACTGTACCTATGCTCCCTGTCATGAGGTCTATAGGAATGGAGCCAGAATGCTGGAATGAATTCTCTGAAACTGTTAACCAAAGTAAATATTTTGCTTTCATTTTCTCAGGCATTTTTTCATAATGATAAAAAGTGAACATAAACTGCTTGTCATATAGCAATATTAAGATTAGACAGGGTTATTCCAATGCCAAGCACAAAGCAATGGGAAAGAGCTACTGAGGAGCATGGTACGAATCCCACCACAGATCTTCCTTCCTGGTCTGCTCTCTTATAACACTGGATGACAGCCACAGTCTCCTGTGACACTGCCACCTGGCACTTGATTTCTTAGGTAGAATTTACTTAGAAGTCTGATTCAATTTATTAAAATAGTATGTTTTCTTTTAAATAACTCTGGGAAAGCATCTTTTCAGGTCCCTCCATGTTTTTATTTCTGACACACTAAATTCCTCTCAGACAATCAAATTTTAAAGGCTTCTTTTGATAGAACAAAAACAAAGCTGGATGAAAGTAGCAACATATGTCAGTTTAGAAAATGATTTACTAAAATGTGCTACAGATATTTAAATAGGTCATTACACTGTCTACCTTTCACTGTAGCCCCAAACAAACGGAGGTATAAGGAAAAGATAAAAAGTTTCTAGTTTTCCAATGAAATTTTGAAAATTTTTTAAAAAGAGGGACAAATGTTAATTACTCATTTATCTTTCACAACCTGATTTTAAAATGAACATATCTAATTGACTATCTAATGATAACCTCTGAAAGGCACATCCACTAACTCGGAAGCATCTAAGGCAACTGTGCCCAAATTGCTGATTACTGGAATTTACTTAGGAGGCGACAACATTGGACGTTTCCTACTCAGTACAGGTCTGGTAATTGTATTTTTAAAAACTACTCTAAGTACTATGATAATCAAAGACTCAAATCCATATTCTAAGGTGCAAGTGAGAGCCTGACACAAAATCACACTGTAAGTGCTTAAAAATAAACAGAAAATTTTTCTGAAGGGCTATTAACATAGCTTACTGTTAAAGTACTCACCTGCTAAGAGTAAGGGTTCAATCCCCAGAACCACAGGAGAATGGAAACATACATATATATGAATATATAGTCATACATGCATACACACTTCTTATTTCAGTTCAAAAGCTAGCTAAAAAACTGTTTCTTCTTAACTCAGAAATTTCAAAAGAAAAATTTAAACAGATTATCAGAAGCCAAATATAGTTATCTCAGTTTCAAGGAAAAAAAATTGGCATTGAATTTTCTCCTTTTATCAACGATACTTTATGAAATAAACCTTCCTATGTGTGGTATTAAATAAATCTTCAGTCACCTCTGGAATTCCTGCCATTCCTGCTATTAAAACATATGGGTGGGGACTAGGGAGAGGGTCTAGCCAGTACAGTGCTTGTTCTGCAAGCATGAGGACCTGAGCTCCATCCTCAGCGTCCACATGAGAGCCAGACGTGGTGGTCTCCAACTGTAAGACAGTGCTGGAGAGGCAGAAACAGAAAGATCCCTGAGGCTTGTTGGCCAGTCAGTCTGTCAGAATCAGTTAATTCCAGATTCACTCAAAAAACATAGTGGCAAGGGACTAACAAAAATAACCGTCAAACTTTGACTTTCAATGTACACATACCCAAGTGCGAGTAAACTCGCACACAAACGCATGTGCATGCCCCCCTCTCTCTCTGAGTGTGTGTGTGTGGGGGGGGGGGAGTCAGGTGAGGTAGCTCCTATTTGCAATCCCAGCACTTAAGAGGCAGAGGCAGCTTCCCCACCATGTTGTAAGGATCTCATTAGCGGTAAGCCAGAATAAACCTTTCTTTCTTAAACTGCACAGGTCAGGTATTTTTCCAGCAGTGAGAAATGTGTGTGTTGGCTCACTGTTCTTTAAAAGCAAAAACTCCCTGCAATGAGTAATCTCTAGGTCTGTTAACGCCCATTAACAGTTCCATTAGGCAAAATGGTGCCATGATAGACCCAGGCTGACCATCTAAGATAAAAACTCCTGCCCTGTGTGGAAGAGATGTCTTTTAGGAATCTAAAGCTAGCCCACTTCAACTCCAAGTAAAAAGACCTTAATAACCACCCAGACTTCAGAAACCCTCCATGCAGTGCTCCTTCTCTCACCGTCAGCTATCTGTGCCTGGACAATACACATGTACTTGGTTCAAGTTGTTCCAATAAGCCTGTTTTGCTTTAAAAAGAAAGAAGAAAGGGAGGGAGGGAGGGAGGGAGGGAGGGAAGGAGGGAGGGAAGGAGGGAGAAAAGAGGCAGGAAGACTTCCAAATTCAAGGCCAACCTGAGCTACTTAACGAGTCCCAGGCAAACCTGGACTACAAAGTAAGATCTTATATGTAGCTTTTCAATTCTTTAAGACTTTGTAGCTAGGTATCCCTGGCTGGCTCACTTAATCAAGCCAAAGTGCTAACTAAATCATCCCCTACTTTCCCCAATAGCTTTGCACTGAGGAGAAGCAAATAACTCTTAGACTATCTGCACACACACACACACACACACATATACAAGACAACAGTGGGTCTTTATCGCTGCTTATCTCAAATTACACCACATAGACTGGTATTTCCTTCACAAACTTTAAAATGAACTGATACAAAATTGAAATGAAAATCATAATTATTATATCCTATGTCTAACCTCTGTTATTTTACTACCTTATCTCCACTGGAAAAGAAAACTGGTAGAATAAAAAGGGAAATATTTTAATTACCTGTCCTAAAATCAGTGTCCTTCATCAAATTTGCAACAAAGAAATTGAATGATTGCTTTTTAAAGGTATAACTGAACAAAGGAAGAGAAACAAACAGTAATAGACAACAAAACCTTATAATTAGTAATTTCTTAGCTAGCAGCCCCAGCTTTTGACAGGTATATGTTCAAATAACATCAACGTACCTGCAACACCAGGTCCTCACTAAGAGTTGGCATCACCTTGTTTTTATTCTTTTGCTCTTCTGAGTCCTTTCTGGAAAGGAATTTGAGCCCAAGCTTGATCTCAGGAGAAGGCATGCCTGTAACGAAATATAATTAATCAATCACTTGCACTAATTTTATTATTCTACTTTTAGATGAATTAAGAATTTTATAAATATAGTAAAATAACATTTCTCAAGGGACTAATGTTATATATTATTAAATGGCAAAGTAAATGTTTAGCATAAGAGAGGCCTGGGTTCACAGTCCAAAAGATTATGTATCATGGTTTCTTAACTGTGACTTTCATATGTCAATAGTGGTTATTATTTTTTAGTAGGTGGTCATGCTGCACTGAACATAACAATGCTTGATTATTTCTTGGCCTCGGGTTGAAGGAATGCAATGAGTATGTATAGAAAATTTTATATCCTAGAACTGGGGAAATGTCTTGATGAATAAAGAACTTTTTGTCATTTTGTTAAAGCAGCCCAAGCTAAGACACACCTTGTCATTCAACATAAAAAGCTGCCTCAGAAGTAATTACATGATTTCTCACAAATGCACTAAGATCTTAATATACTAATATATTAATGACACAGAAATAATCACACATATTAATTTGCATACATGCACATAGAAATTTAATATATCATAGCCCACAGTAAGATGGCTTAGTGGGTAAAATTGTATCCTGCCAAGGTAGACCACCGAAGTTCAACCCCTAGGGCACACATGGTGGAAGGAAGAACGAGCTCTCACAGTTGTCCTCTGACACACACACAGCAATTTATAAATTAATTTAATAGATCAGGATCATAGTGTTTTAAACAGAATAAAATGGAATACTCAGTAAATCATATTGGGACAATTAGTTTACTACTTGAAAAAAATAAAATTAGAACTCTTCTTTTTCCCATATGCAAAAATACTCTACCTTTATTAAGCATAGAAAAACGAAAGCAGGCTAGAGATACAGCTCAGCTAGTAGAGCACTTATTCACTCCAAAAGCACACGGACTTGAGTTTGGCCCTAAAACACATGTCAAAATGCTGAGTGTAACGGCACATGCTTATAATCCCAGCACTGCAGAGGTAGAGACAAGATGATCTCTGGGCTTACTAGACAGCCAGTTTAGCCAATAAGTGAGATCCAAGCTAATGAGAGATCTAGTCTGAAATGCAGACAGCATTTCATAAATGAGATCCAAGGCTATCCTCCAATATATATGGGCATATGTATATATACACACAAAGACACACAGAGGCACAAATAAATGAAGTTTAAAAAAGAGATACCACAGCCTATCACTCAGCCTATGTAAAAACTCACTTCAAAACTGATTAAATATCTCAATGTAGGACCTAAAGCTGAAATTTCTAGAAAAAAAAATACTTCAAGATATAGGCATAAGAAGTGATTTGTCGATAAAGGACACAAACAGCACAAGAAATAATCTCAAAAATAGTCAAACAAGATTACATGAAAATAAAAAGCTTTTGAAAATCAAAGGAAACAATGACCATCATGTGAAGACCACCTAGAGACTAGGAAAAACATCTCTGTCACATATCAGATATAGAACTGATATCTAGAGTATATAAAGTATATTCAAACACCAAGAAAAATCATCTAATTAGATATGGTGACAGATGCCTTTAAACTCAGGACTTAGGAGGGAGAGGCAGGTGGATTTCTGTTACTAGATTTCAGCCAGCCTGGTTTACAGAGTGAGTTCCAAGATAGCCAGAGCTACACAGCGAGGCCCTGTCTCAAAAAAACAAAAAACAAACAAACAAACAAAAAAGTACTGATGAACTGGATAAGACAATTCTCAATAGAACAAACATAGAGAGCCAATAAATATTTGAAATAAATGTTCAACATCTTTAGCTGCCATAGACGTGCAAATTAAAACTGCTGAGTTCCATCTCACCCTAGTTGTAATAATATCATCAAGAAAGCAAATGTCAAATACTGGTGAGAATCTGAAAAAAAGGAACCCTTATACACTACTGGTAGTAATGTAAACTTTTAGTCACCATGGATGTTCCTTAAAAAATAAAAGTAGAGCCGGGCGGTGGTGGCGCACGCCTTTAATCCCAGCACTCGGGAGGCAGAGGCAGGCAGATCTCTGTGAGTTCGAGACCAGCCTGGTCTACAAGAGCTAGTTCCAGGACAGGAACCAAAAGCTACGGAGAAACCCTGTCTCGAAAAATCAAAAAAAAAAAAATAAAATAAAATAAAAAAATAAAAGTAGAAGCCGGGCAGTGGTGGTGTATGCCTTTAATCCCAGCACTCAGGAGGCAGAGGCAGGAGGAGTTATGTGAGTTTGAGGCCAGCCTGGTCTACAGAACGAGTTCCAGGACAGGATCCAAAGCTACAGAGAAACCCTATCTCATAAAACAAACAAACAAATAAACGTAGAACTACTATATGACACAACTATCGCACTCCTAAGCATATACTCAAAGGACTCTACGTCAACAAAGCATAGTGTTACTTATACATCCACACTTACCTCTGCCCTACTAACAACAGCCAGGAGCAGAAACAGCCTCCATGTCAAGAGATGAAGAAAATGCGGTGCATACACGATGCAATGTCATGAATTCATAAATAAAAATCAAATTTTGGAGACGCGGCGGAAAGGCACCGCAATCAGGAAGAGGCTTTGGGGGACCAGCGCGGAGGCAGACGCAAGCGGCGGGGACGGGCCTGCAATAATGAGAGCAGATCGCCCTACTACAATTAAATCAAAAAGGTAGGCCTTTAGTTGGCGAGGTCACTGGCAAACGGGGAGCCTGATCCTGTCCTGAAGACCCTTCGGAGGGGTGAGAGGGTTCTTGGCCGGCGGCAGGAACCAGGAAACAGAGTGAGGGCATTTTGTAAGTGGAGACCTTGGCCAGCAGGGAAACCTGATCCGGTTTTTAAAAGACCTATTAGATAGGATCAATAGAAGGAGATGGGCAGGCGCAAAGGCAAGAATTCACCCAATAATCTGAAAAACAACATGAAAACACCAGAACCCAATGATCTTACAACAGAAGTATTTGAACAACCTAACACAGAAGAAGTGGAAAAAACTGACTTTATGAAAGCAATAGAGTCCCTTAAACAACATGTAAAAAACGCCCTTATAGAAATGGATGAGAAGTATAACAAAAAGTTTGAAGAAATGAGTAAATACGTACATGATACCCTGGGAAACCAAGAAAAAACGATCAAACAGGTAATGGAAACAGTTCAGGAATTGAAAACTGAAATGAAGGCAAGGAAGAAAATACAAACTGAGGACCAGCTGGATATGGAAAATCTAGGTCAACGAGCAGAGTCTACAGAAACAAGCATAATCAATAGAATACAAGAGATGGAAGAAAGAATCTCAGATTCTGAGGACACCATAGAGAAAATAAACGAACAGATCAAAGAAAACAGCAAAGCCAACAAATTCTCAACACAAAACATTCAGGAAATATGGGACACAATAAAAAGACCAAAGCTATGAATAATAGGAATAGAAGAAGGAGAAGAGTCACAGCTCAAAGGCCCAGAAAATATTTTTAACAAAATTATGAAAGAACACTTTCCCAGCATAAAGAAAGATACTCATTTAAATATTCAAGAAGCATACAGAACACCAAACAGACTGGATCAAAGAAAAACATCTCCTTGCCATATAATAATCAAAACACAAAATATACAGGTTAAAGAAAGAATATTAAGAGCTGCAAAGGAAAAAGGGCAAGTAACTTATAAAGGTAAACCGAACAGACTTACACCTGACTTCTCTATGGAAACCATGAAAGCCAGAAGGTGCTGGATAGATGTACTGCAGAAGCTAAGAGACCATGGATGCAAACCCAAACTACTATACCCAGCCAAGCTATCGTTCACTATCAATGGAGAAAACAAGACATTCCAGGATAAGAACAAATTTAAACAATACGTAGCCACAAATCCAGCCCTACAGAAAGTAACAGGAGGAAAATCGCAACCCAAGGAATCCAACACTGCCAATACTGCCTACAATAACTCAGGCATCTAGTGACCCTTCACCAGCACATCTCAAAGAAGGGAGACACACAATCTCTACTACCAAAAGCAATAAGAATAACCAGAGTAAACAACCACTGGTCATTAATATCACTTAATATTAATGGGCTCAATTCACCTATAAAAAGGCACAGGCTAAGAGATTGGATACGAAAACAGGATCCAACATTCTGCTGTTTGCAAGAAACACATCTCAACCACAAAGAGAGGCACCTACTCAGAGTAAAGGGTTGGGAAAAGGTGTTTCAAGCAAATGGTCCTAAGAAAAAAGCAGGTGTGGCCATACTAATTTCTAACAAAACTGACTACAAACTAAAATCAATCAGAAGAGACCGAGATGGTCACTTTATACTCATAACAGGAACAATTCATCAGGATGACATCTCAATCTTGAATATCTACGCCCCTAATATAAAAGCACCCACTTATGTAAAAGAAATATTACTAGAACTCAAGGCAGACATCAAACCACACACACTAGTAGTAGGAGACTTCAACACACCTCTCTCTCCAAGGGACAGGTCAATCAGACAGAAACCTAATAGAGAATTAAGAGAATTATTGGAGGTAATGAAGCAAATGGACTTAACAGACATCTATAGAACATTCCACCCAAATAGGAAAGAATATACCTTCTTCTCTGCAGCTCATGGAACCTTCTCAAAAATTGACCACATACTTGGAAACAAAGGAAACCTCCACAGATACAAAAAAATATCAGTGTCCACCTGTGTCCTATCTGATCACCACGGATTAAAGTTAGAAGGCAACAACAATGCTACCCACAGAAAGCCGACAAACTCATGGAAACTGCACAGTCAGCTACTGAACCACACCTGGGTCAAGGAAGAAATTAAGAAAGAAATTAAAGTCTTCCTTGAATTTAATGAAAATAAAGAGACAACATACTCAAACCTATGGGACACAATGAAAGCAGTGCTAAGAGGAAAGTTCATAGCACTAAGTGCGCACTTAAAAAAAAAACGGAGAATGCATACATTGGGGACTTAACAACACACCTGAAAGCTCTGGAAAAAAAAA